GTCCCCACCCCACCAACAAAACCCCTGCTTCTGGAAATTGTCTCAAAAGAAGAAAGTGAGGTTCAGAGAGAGTGCCAAAGCTGCATGGCCACGATCTCCTAGTCACAACTCAGTCAAAACTCAAACTCAAGCCTCCCAACAGCTTAGAACCAGTGGGCCTTCTACTATGCAGGCCATGCTACCTCTCCTCATTCTGCTACCAAACTTTCTTTGGCCATGACTGACAAGTCCCTAACTCATTTATCACTGCTCTCCCACCCTAACTTCTCCCTCACTCCTCCCCCTGGCCACAAGGGGGCACAAAGGTGTCTGACATACTCTAATCCAGGGGTGGGGAACCCGTGGCCTGGAGGCCACATGTGGCCCTCTAGATCCTCAAGTGCGGCCCTTTGACTGAATCTAAACTTCACAGAACAAATCCCCTTAATAAAAGGATTTGTTCCGTAAAACTTGGACTCGGTCAAAAGGCAGCACCCAAGGACCTAGAAGGCCACATGTGGCCTCCAGGCCTCAGGTTCCCCACCCCTGCTCTAAGTGCACCCACTGCTTTCCTGTACTAGTCTATACAGTGAATTAGGAAGCAAAGGGGAGGAAGTATCCTCTTCTTTGACCCAATCTAATTAAACAAAGTAGGATAACTGTGAGAACTTGGAACACCAGGATATTCAACTAGACCCAGCCTTGACTTTCTGGATATTCTTGAGAGAAATGCACTAGGGTAGGGCATGACACATCTTGATTTTAAAACGAATGAAACTTTGGTCAACAGCGATGTTTTATAACAGGGTTTTTATTCATATGCATATGTGGTCATTTTTAAGAATGAAAATTAGAGGCCCTGCAGGATACCCTTGCAGTCCTAAGTGACAAAGCCCGGAGTGAGACCCTTGGGCTCTCTTGAGCAGAGCTGGGACTGTCTCAGGGATTCCATGATCCAATTCCAGAGCCAGCTGACAGTGGCACAGAGGAAGGCCAGGATGTGGTGCATCTGGAACAGCACGCCCACACAGAGCTCCTGCACCATCCTTTGGAACAGCTCCCCGCCAGCTTGCAGGCCAATACACCACACCAGGCAGAAACTGATTGCCAAGATGGAGAGGTTATAGGAAGCCGTGAGCAGCAAGATGCCTTCAGGCAAAGCATTTTGATTTCTCTCCCAAAGGATCTGGAACAAGCAAGACCCAAGCAGTCTGTGAAATAGTTGCCAACTTCTGGGGCTTAGGTCCCCGGAGGCATCAATCACCCTCTTGATTGGAGGAAGTGGCTGAGCCCGTTCATTTTGGGTTTCTCAGTATCCAAGCTTTTCAGAGCAGACAAAGGCTGGTTTCAGACCATCATCATGCTGCTCAATTGATAATGAATTACTGAAATGAGTAATGTTTCAGCTTTTCTTCCTCATAATAGAAACTGGATCCCTCTTCTCACACTCTTCCCCTCTTGTTTCTGCCTTCTTTGACCTCAAACACTGGCACAGCCTTTCCCCAAACATCCATTGCCAGGCATCTTTACATGCCCTTCCTAGCAATGGATGCAACCGAAAAGCCGTAGTGATGTAATTTGTAAGGACTTTGGAGGCATCTGCCCACTACTGCAAGATGGCCTTGACAAAATGGAATGTCCTTAGTATCCATCTCTTGTACCTCTCCCTCTGCCTCTTAGAACCTGTGTGAATTAGGCTATCATTTTACTCACCTCTTTGGACCTCAGTTTCCTCACATGTAAAATAAGTGGGTTGTTCATGGATTGAAATCTATCCAAGATGATGGCAAAATGAATGGGAGATTTCCCTCAAGATCAGGATTTATTACTATTCTGTTATTATTATAATCATATCCTATAAGGAGAAAGTATAGATAGGCGATAGAGATTACACTTGGTTTTAGGGTTATTATTTGTCATGATATATTTAATCTTTCACTTTTCTTGAAGTTATTCAGCTGGGAGTTAAATTTTCTGATTAAAATTGTTTTCCCCTTCATTTTCCTAAAGAAGGGGAAAAACAGACTGTAAATAAAAATCACTTCCTGCTAATGGACTATACTTTCGGGTTTAAGAGAAAAAGGATCTCAATAGACCCGAGGTACTTTTACCTTAGGAAAAAGCTGCTTCTCTCCCCCTACCTTTTTCACATGAATTTTATTGATGGCTTTTGCTTTTACACTGCACTCATTTCCATATATATTTCTGCTGGCTTCAAAATCCCTCACTTCACAGGATTTTTTCCTATAAGATGCCCAAAGGAACAGCTATAGCTACATCTGGGGCTACTGTAACACCCCCAGTAACTTGTACTTTAAAGTGAGAAATCCTCTGGCTGGCTGGGAGAGATACGCCTTAGCTTTGAAAGTGTATGTCAGAGCCTCTAAGTAGAACAGCCCTCTCCTAGGGCAGAAAGGTATGGAGCTTACCTAGGGAAAAGTCCAGCCCCCATCTAAGGCCAGAAACCTTCTCTGGTCCCATTGAAGATGGGTGGCCTGATGTCCACAGAGGCTGATGGTTCACACAGCAGGACGGTTTTCTCTCTTTTGAATCAAGCATTCCCTCTCCCTGCCCCCTTCCTTCCCCTTTTCCCCTCCCCCTCCCCCACTCCCATCCTCAGAATTTTATGATGGTCACAGATCCTGATGACAAATCCACCCCAGCCAACAGATCCACCCTAGCCAGTCCCTGCTTGGCAACTATAAATCACTTGATGTTTTCTCATTGGAGATTTAAAGCCACCTCATGTCTTGTATACCCTTTGGAGTGACATTCCTTTCGGCTGCCTGCATTTTACTCCCCCTTATTTTTTGTTTTGTTTTGTTTTCAAAGGAAGTCAAGATGGCCTTCCAAACCCTGCCCCCCTTTTCAGGTTAGTGGTGAAGTCAGTCAGGCAAGTCATGCGCTTAAACCTAAAATAAAGGTGTCTGTGTGTCGGGAGGAGGTGGGAAGTAGGGTTTTCTGTTTTAAAAAGTCTCTATATTTATTCAGGAAGCGCAGCATGGCAGTCAATGGCATCGGAATGGATTAGCAGGAAGTACCCTGATTTGTTAGTCGGGACATGACAACCTCAGTAGCTTCTAAACTTGCTGGCCCAGAATCCCAAATGGAACCACTCAGGGCCAGCTTACAGGGCTTAGCAGGGAAGTCCCTGCATTCAAAGTCCCATCTTTGACACAATAGCACTGTGTGTATGGAGAGGCACTTTGCTTGACTGTATAAGCCCTTGACTAGACTCATTTTCCCCAACTACAAAAAGATGGGGGCTGTTTGATGGAACTCTGAAGTACCTTCCAGCTTAAACATTCTAAAACTGGGTAGAAGGACCTTTAGAAGTCTGGCAGTTAAACTGTCCCACCAGCTAAGTGTGGGAATGGGGGGAGGGGTGGAGGAGAGGGGGGGATCCCCAGGATTAACCAGAATTAGAACCTTAAAGTTTGGGCTGGTTACTTTGCCTCTCAGGCAACACTGAAAGAGAGAACAGAGCCAGGTAGTCAGTAACATAAGAAATCAGGGTGGGGCACAACAGAATCTTAGGATCTAGACCAAGAAGGGCCCCTCAGCTGGAGGAGGGGCAGTGAAACTGATCTCCCCACCACCATCACCCTCTGCTCTTTCCACTGCGCCATCCAGTGCAATTCAACTAAAACACTCATTAAATGCTAACTCTCTGTGCCAGCCAGCTGCACCAGGGGGCATGTGGTGCCCATTTCCTAAGGAACCTTTAGCCTCTTGCCAGTCCCAACTAGTTGCCTTGTCTTTACAGATATCTGTGGTAACTACCTGCCCCCTCCCACCTCTGCCCCTCATTGTGAGACTCCAGGGAGGGACATGTGCTTATAAAATGCTTTCACACACTTTATACCGTGCTTGAGAAATGTCAGAGGGGATGGGGCAAACAACATGTGCACACGGATAGGGCAGCATAATAATACAAAAGGAAGTGATGGGGCAAAGGAGAGACCAATATACTCTAGCAATATTTTATTGAAGGGGGAGAACACTTTGTTGGGGAGAGAACGGGGCAGCATGAGGGCAGGGGTGGCCCCTGCAAGAGGTTTGAAGGAGGAAGAGAAAGACTGTGAAAGGGAGAGGGGAGTTCTGCGGGGAGGGCATTCCAGGCACAGGGAAAATAAGCCTGGTACTTAGACTAGGCCCAGGCTTCACATCTTACCAGGGCTGACTGCTGCCTAGGTAGCCCCTAGACTCAAGGGTCTCCCTTGGTTTCCAGGTTTAAAGTCAACCTTGATGTCCTATGAAGTCACACAAAATGAAGGGGACTTCATTCACTCAGCAGGGGTCCTGCTACCCCTCCCTTGGCCCCTCCCCTCCCCACACACAGCCTAGGTTGTGGGGACAATGCACAGATGAGATCCAAGCCAGACTAGAACAACTCAAGTGGGGCTGAAATTAGGCATCTCAGTCAAGTGTTTGACCTTCAGGGATCAAGTCAGAAGAGTCAATCACTGAAAGAAGTCTGGGCATTGGAACCCAGGCAGGCAATCTAACCTACCTGGTTTTGGTTTTGAGGAGAGATCCCTCCCAAGGCTCCCTCCATTTCCCCAGTTACATGTCATGTAACCTTGAACATCTTTTATACCTGGGAGTGGCTCATCCTATATCTAGAAACACGACATTCCTTTAGAGACTGGACACACTGGAGTGTCACCTGAAAACCCCATCTCTATAACCCTATACCCAGTTTTCGCCCCCTTCTCCATGAATCTTCTCCTGAATCCCCCTTCCCAGCAGGAAGCACCTCTGCCCAATCTTTCTTCTAATCTGAACTCCTAAAAAAAGAGATTCTTCTGCACTATTACACCCACTCAACTCCCTCCAAATGTCTAGAGCAAATTCAAACTCCATTGTGAAGTGTGAACAGAACATCTTTTATTACTAGCAGGGGCCCATCAGGGAAGGCTTCCTGGACTAGGTGACTTTTCATTTGGGATTGAAAGGGTGGGTCCTACTGCTCTAGCAGCCTCTTAACTAGGAAATAAACACTACAGGGGGGTCTTAAAGCCATTTCACAAGGAGTCACTTTATTTGGTGATTTGAGGGTACAGGTATGCACAGTAGATTGAGAACATAATAGTGGCAATGCCGATATTTGCGATTTACTGGTAAAGAGTCTGCCTTGGTGACTGGACAGCTGACTTCTTCCTCACTTCACCTAGCATCCTGCTGTTCATGGGTATCCCTCTGGTGTGAATGCTGTGGTATCTGGTTCTGATGTTCAGAGCCTGGAAGATGTGGCTAGTGAAGGGATAGGTGTGAGCATGGCTCTGGTGAAAAGTATGTGGCTCAGGGGTGTGCTCAGAATGACCATGACCATGACCAAGACCACGACAGTGACGCCAAAGCTGCTGCTGCTGATTCTCCCATTTCCCACTCCCGATGTCAGATGTTGTAATTAGGGAGGCTTGGGAAATGAGGCTCAGCTGGGTTGACTTGAAACTGAAGAAAATTGGGTCCAGCTCTGTTGACTTGAGAGGGCTGGGCTTCCAAAGTTGGAGGAGAAGGTATTGGCCGCCGTGATCCGACACCTAGATTGTGTCACCGACGCCTGGGGCTTCTGGCGCACAAATGAACATTTCTTCTCCGGAACTGCATCTGCCATAATTGTCTCAGTATCCTGGCCCTGTGGTGAAATCCTAGCCAAGAGGCTGCACAGACACATCATGATCAAGGTGAAGAGTAGATGATAGAGAATAGCCTTTAGGACTACTTCATAACCATTTTTCTGGTGGAGGAAGACCAGGCCATGATAGGCCCATTGCGTCCCATTAAGTGTTGACATTAGTCACTCGTGCGAGGTGTCTTGGAAAGCAGAGAGTGGAATCTTGAGCCGTGGGAAGCAGAAGAGTAATGAATGTTATAGCACAGGTCTTCATCATAAGTAGTGCCTGCCACAGGGTCCACAGGGTGGGGATAAACATCCCAGAACAGATATTTTGGGCCAGGATAGGAATCTGTTCTATGTTCGTTTGGAAGGAGTTGTAAACACCAACAGCAAAGATGTGTAGATAGTCGTAAATCACGTCCATGGCTACCAGGAGATTCAGGAGCAGGATGTCAAATCTTCAGCCCAGAGGGTCTGAAACAAACAATAGACCTTGAGCACCAATGAGAAAATCTCTGGTTAATCTAAGCTCTCGGTGAGGCATCACCTCTGGCTAGGTGGAGCAGGGTGTGAAGGCCCTGGCTCCAGTCCCCAGCAGGGACGAGGACAAGGGAACACAGCTCAGGCCCCCTCTATAAATACAGCCAGGGGAAAAGGTCACTATGGGTGATATCACAAAAACCCTGAGAGTAAGTAAGGTCAGCCTGGGAGGAGGCATTTGTGGCCTTTTATGGTAAAGGTGACTTTTCTTGTTTTTAAATGGTATGTGATCAGTGCATTGATGTCACTTGCTGGTCATTTCCTCTTTCTGAGCCTCAGTTACTTTTTCTGTAAAATGAGGGTCATTGAACCAAATGAACACTGAACTTAATGATCAGAAAGATCCCTTACGACTACGATAATGTTTAATCCTGTATCCAGAACTAAACACACCATCAAACACACCAATTTGCTCCTCATGACTACCCTACTGATATTTCTGGGGCCCTCATTGATCTAGCTTCCATCTGCTCAGTTAACAAGTCCAATTTCAGCTTCAGAACATAACTAATATCTATCTCCATTTTTTCTCTCCCACTGTCTTTATTTTTCTGTTACCATTTCTGATTAACTATGGAGAAAAGGAAGTAGTAAAGATATAAAGAGGAGAGAGACAGAGCCAGGGAGGGAAGGAGTGAAAGAAAAAAGAGGGAGAGTGGGGAGGAGAGAGGAGAGAGAGAGAGAGAGAGAGAGAGAGAGAGAGAGAGAGAGAGAGAGAGAGAGAGAGAGAGACTGAGACTGAGTATACCTGATAAGACTCAAGGACTTCGAGGCATCAGGGCTGGATAAACTTCTTCTCAGAGTAGATGGGACAGCCAAGTCACTGCCAGTGAGGGATCTCTCAGTGAAATACCTTGGTGAGTGGGAAAGAGGCCCCTGTGCTAGAATACTGCAAAATGACCTGTTTTTACTAAAAGGGGAAGAGAATAGAGTCTGGACATTATAAGCCAGTGGGCTTAGCTTCTGTCTCTCCCAAGAGTCTGGAACACATTCAAGTACTGGTTGGAGCATCACTAAGCATGGGTCATGCCGGAGGAATCCTACATTCTGTGGCTTCAAGTCTGACCTTAAATCTTAAATTCAGTCTTCTACAGGAAACTTTTCGTCAGTGATATTATGGATGCAATGTATTACCATTGTCACCTTGTATAAGTCACTTGCGTAAGTGGAAGAGGGAAAGGGAGAAAGAGAGAGGGAAGGAGAGGAAGGGAGGGGGTGAGAGGGAGAGGTGAAAGAAACAGAGGTAATGAGGAAGGAAGAGAGGAAGGAAAGAGGGAGAAGAGATGGGAGGGGGAGAGAAGTAGCACTCCCTTCCCAGGTTAATGAAATAATAGGCAGATGGAACAGCCAAGTAAATGCCAGCAAGGGATTTCTCAGTGAAATATCCTGGTAAATGGGAAAAGTGACCCTGGGGAAGAATATTGCAAAAGGACCCATTTTTCTTAAAAGGGGAAGAGGACAGCATAAGCCAGTGGGCTTAACTTCTCTCTCCCTTCCCAAGATTCTAGAACACATTCAAGTACTGGTCATAAAGGGAGGATGAGAATAGTTACTGTCACTAAGCATGGGTCAGGCCAGAGTAATCATACACACTGTAGCTTCAAGTCCCTCCTAAAATCCGACTTTCTACTGGGAACTTTTCATCAGTGATATTATGGATGCAACTTACTTCACGTGTGACCTTGTATAAGTCACTTGTGTAAATGGGAAAGGGAAAGGGAGAAGGAGAAAAGGAAGGAGAGGGAGGGAGAGGTGGAAGAGACAGAGGTAAAAGGGAAGTATGAGAGGAAGAAAAGGAGAGGGAGAGAGGAGGAGGGAGAAGGAGAAAGACATTGGGAAGAGAGAGAGGTGGGGGGAGAGAATTCAAAGGAAGACAAGAGAGGAAGAGAGAAACAGGGAAAGAGAAAGAGACTTGACAGTGTCCAGTGAGTTCAAGTGACCAGGCCTCAGTGAATTCCTTTTCAGGATAGTGGGAAGATCGGCAAACTGGACATCCTAGCCACCGCCAATGAGGGATGAATCCAGGAAACCCCCTGGTGAGTGGGACAGGGGCCTGGGCTAGAGATTTTCCTGAAATGGGGGAGAGGGGAGAGTCTGAACATTCCCAAAGCCAATGGGCTTGATTTCCTTCTCTCTCTGTCTCTCTGTCTCTGTCTCTCTTTCTCTCGATTCTAGAACACATACATCCAAGGAGTTATGGAAAGTACTGGTGCCACCAGCGGGGTCAGCATGGTTGGCTTCCTTAAGCCAACATCCTACCAGAGTGTCCCAGCCTTCCCTGGCTTCCTGCAGGTCCCTGCTAAAATCTGGCCTTCTTCAGGCGGCCTTTCTTCACTGTTGTTATGAGTCCTCAGGGTCACCATCCATGCCACTTACTACTTTTGTGACCTTGTATGAGCTACTTGTAGGAGAAAGAGGGAGGGAAGGAAGGAGGGGGAAAGAGTAAGAGCAGGTAAGAAAGAGGGAGGGGGGGGGAAAGAGAGGAAAAGGGAGAGCAAGAGAATTGATGGGAGAGGGTAGGGAAAAGATGGTGGTGGTTAGAGTGAGGAGGGAAGGAGGGAGAGAGATGGAAGGGTCAAAGAGATGGGGGAAGGGAGAGCAAAGAGGAGAGAGAGAAGGAAACAGAGGGAAGAAGAGGAGAAATATAGAGGGGCTGTGAAGTGAAAGGCCTGAGAGAGAGAGAAGGCAGAAGAACAGAGAAAGTGAGCACCAAGTCACCAGGCCACTGTGAACTTGTTCTCAGGATAGGTTCCACCTCCCTGCCATGGCTCCCATCTATCTCTGTTTTTCCTTCCACAGCCTTTATGTTCCTGCTGTTGATTCGTCCATTTCCACTGCTCTCAGGAGATAGTGACAGAAAAAGAAAAGAGGGAGAGCAAGAGAGAGAGAGAGAGAGAGACAGAGAGAGAGAGAAGAGAGAGAGACAGAGAGAGAGAGTCAGAGAGAGAGACAGAGAGAGACAGAGACAGAGAGAGAGACAGAGAGAGACATACAGAGAGAGAGACAGAGAAAGACGGAGAGAGAGACACAGAGAGACAGAGAGAGAGACAGAAAGAGAGAGAGAGAGAGAGAGAGGACAGAGAGGGAGTTAGAGAGAAGAAGAGGAGACAAAAGAGAGGGAGAAGGGCAAAGAGAGGTGAAGAGGGAGGAGGCATGAGAGGGAGAAGGAAAAGAAAACGAGAATGGGAGAAGAGAAGGGGAGAGAAAAACAGAGGATAGAAGGAAAAATAGGAAGAGAAAGAGAAAGATGGAGTGAGGGAGGGAGGATTAGGAGAAGGTGAGATGGGGAAGTGAGAGAAGAAGAGTGTGAGGGAAAGAGAAAGAGAGAGAGATAAGGCAGTAAGGAGGAAGGGAAGGGAAGAGGGTGGGGGAAAGGTAGTGGCAAAAGAGAGAGTTGAAGAGAGGGGAGAAGAGGGGAGGGGGGAAAGGAAGAGAGTAGGGGGAGAGGGAGAAAGTATGAGAGTGATAGGGGAAGAGGAGTAGGAGAATGAAGAGGTAGGGGAGAGAGAGATGGAGAAAAATGGCTGCAAGGACAAGAGGGAGATAGCGAGAAATGTCAGGGAAAGACAGACAGGGGGAGAGAGAAACTCTGAACTCATGTGACCAGGCCTGGGAGAACTTCTCAGGATCATGAAAGAACGGGCAGATGTGCCATGAGAGCTACTACCAGTGAGGATGGCTCAGTGAAACACTTTAGTCAATGAGAAAGGGGGCACTGGGCTAGAATACTGCTAATGAGCCATTTTTCCTAAAAGAGAGTAGACAGAGTCTGGATGGTATAAATCCGATGGGCTTGACTTTCTGGTTTCTCATGATTCTAGAACACATTACAGGAATTATGGAACTTACTGGTCCTATAAGGAGGGTTAGCATAGATAGTTTCATTAAGGACACATTATGCCAGAGTAGCTGTTGGGGACAGGTAAGTGGCGCCGTGGATAGAGAGTTGGGCCTGGAGTCAGGAAGACCTGAGTTCAAATCTGGCCTCAGACAGTTACTAGCCATGTGACCCTGGACAAGTCACTTTACCCTGTTTGCCTCAGTTTGCTCATCAGAAAAACAAGCTAAAGAAGGAAATGGCAAACCACTCCAGTATCTCTGCCACAAAAATCCCAAATGGGGTCATGAAGAAGCGAACATGACTAAAACAGCTGAACAACATTCCAGAGTAACCCTGTCCTCCCTGGCTTCCTTCAGGTTCTAGCTAAAAATCCACACTTGTAGAGGAAATTTTTTTGTCAGTGCTATTATCAGTTTTCACTGTTATAATCTATGCAACTTACTATCTTTGTGACATTGTATGAGTCACTGAAGAGAGGGGAGAATGGGGTAAGAGAGGGAGAGGTAGGAGAGGGGAAGAAGAGGAGAGAGAGGTAGAAAGGGTGAGAGTGATAGGGGAAGAGAAATAGGGTGGGGGAAGTTAGAGATGGGGGGAGAGAGACAAGTGTGGGTAAGGAGTGCAAGAGAGAAGAAGAGAACATAGAGGAAGAGGAAGAGGAGAGGGAAACAGGGAAGAGGATGGGAGGGGAAATGGAGAGAGAAAGGAGGAGACAGAAGGAGGAAGAGAGTGGGTAGGAGACAAGAAAGGGGAGGGAAGATAGGAAGAAAGTGGGGAAAGAGGGAGGGGATGATAGGAAGAGGGAGGAGTAGAGGAGACTGAGGGAGAGGAGGGAAGAGAGGGAAAGGAAGAAAGGAGAGGGAGTGGGGGGAAGGGAAGGAAGGGAGAGAGAGGGGTAGAAATGGGGGAAAGAGTTGGAAAAGGGGGAGAGAGATAGTGGGAAGGAGGGAAGAGAGGTTTAGCAAAGGGTGAAGAGAGAAGTAGAGGAAAAAGGGAGAAAGAGAGAGGGGGAAAGGGATAATAGTAGGGGGGAGAGACCTGAAAAAAGAGGAGAGAAAAGAGTAACAGAAAGAATGAGTGAAGGGAAAGAGACAGAGGGAAAGGGTGGAAGAGAGGGATAGGCAGGGAGGGGAGGAAGAAACTGAGGGGAGAGTGGTGTGGGGGAGAGGCCAAGGGAAGAGACAGAGAGCTTCTGACCTGAGTCAGTGAATTCAAGTCACCAGGCCGGGGGTGGGGGGGGGGGCAGGGATGGACTCCTCAGCATAATGAAAGAAGAGTTGGGACAGCTGAGTCACTACTAGTGAGGTATCAATCGGTGAAGCATTGAAGGGAAAGGGGACCCTGGGCTAGAATACTGAAAATGGCCCGTTTTTCATAAAAGGGGTAAGCAAGTAGAGTCTAGACATAAGTCAGTGGGCTTGACTTCTCTCTCCTAAGATTCTAGAACACAAGGAGTTACAGAAAATACTGGTCCTAAAAGGAGGGTGAGCACAGTTAGCTTTATTAAGCACAGATCAGGCCCGACTAATCCTGAGAGAGAGAGGAGGAAGAAAAAGAATGGAGGAATAGGAGAGTAAGGGGGAAAGGGGAGAAGAGGGAATGGGGAGATGGAGGAAAAGAGAGAGGAAGAGAAAGAGGGGGAGGGGGAGGAGGGAAGGAAGGGGTAGAAGTGGAAGGAAGTAGAAGTAGAAAGAGAGGTTGGGGGAGGGGGAAGAGGGAGAGGAGAGAAGAGACAGAGAGGGGAAATGGAAGGGTAGAGAGGGAGAGATGGAGAAGAGTGAGGGGGAAAGACAGGGCGGGAGGAAGGGAGAGGGAGAGAGAGGGAAAATGAGGAAGAGGGACGGCTGGAAGAGGGGGAAGAAAAAGGATAAAAGAGTGGGAGGAAGGGAGGGGGAGAAGGAAGGGTCAGAGGAGAGGTTGAAAGCAAAAGTGGGAGGGGGTGAAGAGCGAGAGGGGAATAGAGAGATAGGGAGGGGAAGAGGGGGAGGAAGAGAGAGAGGTAGAGAGGGAATGGGGAATAAAGGGAGACAGGGCAGGGGAAGAGGAGAGCTTGAGAGATACATTGGGAGGGAAGGAAAGGGAAGAGAAGGGGGAGAGGGAGAGAAAAGGAAGAGAGGGATAGATAGGAATAAGCAAAGAATGAGAGATGGGCAGAAAGGGAGAGGGGGAGGAGATATTCTG